ATTTATATTTATTTGTTTGTTTGTTTGTTTGTTTTTCGAGACAGTGTTTCTCTTTGGCTTTGAAGCCTGTCCTGGAACTAGCTCTGTAGACCAAGCTGGTCTCGAACTCACAGAGATCCGCCTGCCTCTGCCTCCCGAGTGCTGGGATTAAAGGCATGCACCACCATCGTCCGGCCGCCAACTATCTTTTAAAGACTTACATTTTCAGCTTGTTTCCTGATTATTTGTTTTGTACTTTTCCCTCAGTTGAGGAATATTTGGGCTCAGAAATTCTTTAAGAAGAAAGACTGCCAGGCGATGGTGGCGCACGCCTTTCATCCCAGCACTCGGGAGGCAGAGGCAGGCGGATCTCTGTGAGTTCGAGACCAGCCTGGTCTACAAGAGCTAGTTCCAGGACAGGCTCCAACACCACAGGGAAACCCTGTCTCGAAAAAAACCAAAAAAAAGAACAAAGACTAAATTAGTTTCCAATACTATCAGTCCTTTATTTCTTTTGGGCAAAGGATGAGTTAAGATGAACTTCGATCAGCCTTTTATACCTTACTGTTATAAATGACATGTTCATGAGGCTGAAAAGAAGGCTCAGCTCTTAGAACATTGGTGACTCATCCAGAGAATTTTTGATACCCAGCATCCATAAGACAGCTCACAATGTCTGTTCCTCCAGTCACAGGAGAGTAGACACTGTCTTCTGGTCATCACTAGTACCTGAGATACACTTGCTACACTCACTGGTCAAACTCCTACATCTAAGTTGAATTTCATTCCTTTTTAAGGTAACAGGCACATAAAGAAAACCTATTTAAAATATAGAATCAAATACACATCTGTCTTTTCAGTATTTGCCCATTTTGTACCCTAAGAGGCCAGAAGAATGCACCCGATCTCCAGGACCTCCAATTACAGGGAGTTCTATCCAATCAGATATGGTGCTATGAGTCAAACCTGGGTACCCAAGAGGAGCAGTACTCCTGAGACAACTCTCCAGGTCCCACATGTGTCATTATAATTCTTAAGGTAGAGGAGTCACATTGTTCCTTCTGTCTCTTATCACTTGAAGGATAAAGTCCACTATAGATGGTTGTCAAAGATTCAATGGAAGGAATGTGAATGGAATTTGTATATTGCTTCTTATTTTCATTGTTAAGAGACTTCTCTTTATGTGAGGGAATATTTAAAATGTTGGTTGAAATCAGTCTGACTCCAGGCAGATTTTATTAGGAAAACTTCCATAATTTGGGAGTCTTTGTCTTTTGTGATGTTTTTGAGATAGGATATGTCCACATAGCCATTGATGCCAGGTATGCATTATGTGGAACAAGCTGGCATCAAACTCACTGAGATTGGACCCACCCACACTCCTGTGTTCTGTGATTAGAGCCATGCACCTCTATGTTGAGCTGAAATGTTTGTAAAGGACTTATTGAGTAAAAAAAAAAAAAAACACATAATGAAAGACTTAAAAGGGAACATCATTGTTTTGATAAATAACAATATTTCTTCAAATTGTATTATTTAAATGGCCAAATAATTTCATATGTTCAAAATAATGAGTCATTGTTATTGCATTGTCAATTCCATCCATTTAAAAATGTTTGAAGTGTGCTTTTGTGACTACACCTGCGACATGATGTGCATGTAGCACAGATAGGAAAACTAACAGGGGTCTATGATCTACGTCCACGTTGTGAGTTTTAGTCCTTAAACCTTGGGAGTCATTTGACTGCAAATACACTGAAAGAAACTTCTTTTGGTTTAAAAATTATTTGTGAATGAGATGATGTAGGAGTGTGTATAAGTAACTGATGAAGTCAACAAATATGAAAAAATTCGTAAGAGTATTAGGGTAAACAAGATATAGAAGCCAGGTTATCAGACTTAGAGGCAATGAACTTTAATAAATGATGCAATTTTCTGGCATGTAATTTTGGTTTTGAGAAAGTATAAATACATGTCTTGTTCTCAGAATGAAGAAATTAAAAAAATCTGTGCTGGTAAGAATATTTTCACATGCATAGCAGATTGACTATTCAAATTGTCCCATGGTCCTCTCTTGTTGTATGAAATTGCATTTACAATTTGAAAAGAAAATAAGACTCTACTGTTGTAATATTTCTTCTAATTGAATTTGAGCACCAATGAGATGACTCAGTGGGAAAGGACTCTTATGGGCAAGACTAGAATCCCAACCTCGATTACATGTTGAATTTTTCAGGAAAATGGATGGAGCGAGAAAACATCATTTTGAGAGAGCTAACCCAGACACAGAAGACAATTATCACATGTAGTCAGTCATTAAGTGGATTTTAGTCATAAAGCAAAGAAACCCAGCCTACAAATCACAGTCCCAGAGAACTTAGACAACATGAGGACACTAAAGAGACATACAAAGTTCTAATATACATGTGAATTAGAAAAAGACAAGATCTCCCGAGTAAATTGGGAGGATGGGACCTTGTGAGAGTACTGAAGGGAAGGGAAGAGGCAGGAGGGGAGCAGCAAAAAAATGTAGAGCTCAATAAAGATCAAAAAAATTTACAAGAAAAGAACATTAATTATGGTGTCAGATAAACAGATGATTGCTGATTAGACTACATTATTACATCTATAAAACATGAATGAAAATACTTCTTTAAATACACATAAGGTATTTAACATTTCTTATTATTTATTTTATCAGTCATTTTAATGTGAATACTGTCAAATTCTGTTGAAAAACCACATACATTTGGAGCTCATCATCGACCCTTGGACTTGTATACAGGGGGCAGACATATGAGCATCATGAATTCAAAATAATCCCTGAATTTTTCCTGACATCCAAGCTAGGATTAATAACAAACAAAAGCTGAAGGGAATTTCTGAAAAGATAAAAATCTAAACCAGAAACAACCCAAAACATTTACTCAAAAAGTATGTTCCCACATGGCCTGACACTTCAATAACCAATGGGAAACAAGTATGATGGGTTTACCATTCTATACATTATAGCAGAAAAATACCCATCACTTGGTAAAGGCACAAAAAAAGATGAACAAAATCCATAGAAGTAATATAAAGACTACAAAATAGAATTCACTAAATGGATTTGCCACACATATAGCTCACTTTAGTACATACTTCAAATATTTCAATGTAGAAACCATAATGCAATGACCTCCACCAGTCTTGATTAAACATGGTATGTAATTTACTTCCCTCAAGGTTATGATAAAAATTTTTACTTAAAGCTAGAGAAAACTGTGATTTCTAAAGAAATTAACCAATTGTTGTCATGAATTGAACTTTCTTTTTTCTAAGAGTATGTTCCTATTTCCAGACTTCAAAAAGATATAAATAGACTAAAAATATATGAGGCACTAGAGTCATGCCTAGGTGAGAACTAATGTCAGATGTTTGACAGCTTCCTGTAATTTCTTCTGCAATAATATCCAAGGTATTATCTTTATGTGGATACAGAATGCACATTCAAATACACACAAATACACACACATACATCACATAACTACAATGAACAAAACTTTTAAGACAGTTTTTCACTCATGAAAACATTTCTCCTGTAAACATTCATTCATTTCTGTAAAAGAGGAGCTGAGAGTCATCGTACAGCTTACTTACACAATGAATTGGTTCATGTAAAGAAAAAGCAAACTTAGACTTGAAGTAAAAGAAATTAATTCTTCTAAGAAAGCTTTCCAGGCCGGGCAGTGGTGGTGCACAACATTAATCCCAGCACTTGGGAGGCAGAGGCTTTTCTAGGACAGGCCCCAAAGCTACAGAGAAACCCAGTCTCAAAAAACAGAAGAAAAAAAAACAAAAACAAAAAAAGAAGAAAGTTTCCCAGTAGAAATATCTGGTTCTGATCTCCTCTACTCTCAAGGGAATATTTCATAATATATGTCCAATTACTCTGTCATCTTCTGAACTAAGTTCCCAAACAGAGGCATCAATTGTATCTTGGCTCAACTCCAGGAGTTTCTGAAACATTCCAGTAAAAGAGGTATTCACATAAATCTTGAATCAGATTTATTTGAGAAGGAAGAAAACATGAGTATGAATACCTCTGCAAAGTGTGGAAAGGGACAGCTGCATGCTTAATGAGCATAAGGCTCAAATAGGACTTCTTAATAACCGAGAGCAAAGGAGATTTTGATGGTGGGAATTTGCTGGATTTCAATACCTGATCCTGAAAAAGCTCCGGGATGGGCTTGATTTTATGCCGAGGGATTCATTGCTTTTGTGCGCAGTGGACAAGGGTAGAGTTTGTTTTTATGGATCTGATTTGAGAGCCAAATTGTGTTTCTTTACTGGCCCCTTTTAACGTTGGCTGTTTTCAGAGAGATGTTGTTTCTTTAACTACTTCTAGATTCAGAGACAAGGTACTTTCTTTTGGCTCTGGTTTCAGGACCAATGTATGTTTCTTTAAATACCCTTTCTCCAACCAATAATGCTTCATAAAATGTTTGTCCATTAGTTTGCTACTTCAAACTAAAATAATAAGAGGTATCATGATGCTTGAACAAATTGTTGACACTATAAAATTCTTTTCTATACAATAACTGTTTTTGTTTAAAGAATAATTTACAATAAGCCCTCAGTTTTTTCCTCAGGTCCAAAGATTATGGTAATATGCACCACAAACTTAATCAGATTGATTACACACAAAAAGTCTTACTCCTATATGAAGCACAAATCATTCTGACACTGATTTTCATAGAGTATCACTACAGTATGATTTTTCTCATGTTTTTAAAGAACACACATATTAAACTCAGGGTTTCTCTATAAGATGTCTTATTTTACATATTTGGAGATGATTGGGAAAAAGGATTCAGGACAGATTTCATTCACATGTATCTCTCCAGTATGTGTTCTTTTATGCAATTGAAGATGATTGTGACATGCAAGTCCTTACCACATTGATGGCATTTATAGGGTTTCTCTCCAGTATGGGTTCTTTTATGATTTTGAAGAGCACAGTTGTGAGCAAAGACCTTACTTCATTGATTACATTTAAAGGATTTCACTCCAGTATGTGTTCTTTTATGCCTTTGAAGATGACTGTGTTGAGCAAAGGCCTTACCACACTGATTACATTCATAGGGTTTTTCTCCAGTATGTGTTCTTTTATGTTTTTGAAGATGACTAAGATAAGCAAAGGCCTTACCACACTGATTACATTCATAGGGTTTCTCACCAGTATGTGTTTTTTCATGGTATTGAAGGTGACTATGATGGGCAAAGGCCTTACCACACTGAATACATACATAGGGGTTCTCTCCAGTATGTGTTCTTTTATGCCTTTTAAGAGTACCACGTTGAGCAAAGGCCTTACCACACTGATTACATTCATAGGGTTTCTCCCCAGTATGTGTTCTTTTATGCATTTGAAGAGTACCACGGTGAGCAAAGGCCTTACCACACTGATGACATTCATAGGGTTTCTCTCCAGTATGTGTTCTTTTATGACTTTGAAGAGTACTAGGTCGAGCAAAGGCCTTACCACACTGATTACATTCATAGGGTTTCTCTCCAGTGTGTGTTCTTTTATGCGTTTGAAGATGACTGTGTTGAGCAAAGGCCTTATCACACTGATTACATTCATAGGGTTTCTCTCCAGAATGTGTTCTTTTATGCTCTTGAAGATTACTAAGATATGCAAAGGCCTTACCACACTGATTACATTCATAGGGTTTCTCTCCAGTATGTGTTCTTTTATGGTATTGAAGGTGACGATGATGTGCAAAGGCCTTACCACACTGACTACATTTATAGGGTTTCTCTCCAGTATGTGTTCTTTTATGCATTTGAAGACTACCATGTTGAGCAAAGGCCTTACCACACTGATTACATTCATAGGGTTTCTCTCCAGTATGTGTTCTTTTATGCATTTGAAGAGTACTAGGTCGAGCAAAGGCCTTACCACACTGATGACATTCACAGGGTTTCTCTCCAGTATGTGTTCTTTTATGACTTTGAAGAGTACTAGGTCGAGCAAAGGCCTTACCACACTGATTACATTCATAGGGTTTCTCTCCAGAATGTGTTCTTTCATGCAATTGAAGGTAATCCAGATGTGCAAAGTATTTACCACACTGACTAAATTCATAAGGCTTCTCTCCATTATGTGCTCTTTTATGCATTTGAAGATTACTTTTCTGAGCAAAGGCCTTACCACACTGATTACATTCATAGGGTTTCTCTCCAGTACGTGTTCTTTTATGTGTTTGAAGATTATCCTGACATGCAAAGCATTTACCACATTGAAAACATTCATAGGGTTTCTCGCTAGTATGTGTTCTTTTATTCTTTTGAAGATGACTGTGATCAGCAAAGGCCTTACCAAGCGCATTAAATTTATATGATTTTTCTTCATTATGTGTTCTTTTATGACTTTGATGAGTTTCATAATGAACACAGTCTTTACCATCTTGACTATATTCATAGGGTTTCTCTCCAGTGGGTGTTCTTTCATGCATTTGATGATGACTGTGATAATCAAAGGCTTTACCACATTGCTTAATTTCACAGCATTTTTCTCTGGTATGTGTTTTTTCATTCCTTAGAAGGTGAGTGTCATAAGACAAGGTTTTAGCATAGTGAGAACATACTGAAAATTTCTCTCCAATTTGATTTCTTTCAATCCTGCAAGGATAATTTACACATGTAAAAGCTTTACCACATTCAATATACTGTTGAACCTCAGATCTGTATGAATTAATTTCATAATTTGTTCCAGTTGTAAAAATGAATCAAATATTAATGTCTTATAACTTCATTTAAAATCATGTTTTCTTCTTTCATTAGGAAAAATATTTGTGATGATAATTCCTTTGTGTCATGGTTTACCATTTCATCTATACCTATCTCTATATTTTTCTATGATTTTTTCACATTTTTTAAAAGAAATGCATACACTGAGTGCCTTACGATCTTTACTGCATTCATAAATTTTACTGTGAATCCTTATACATTGACTAAGTGAACTAAGACACTAAGAAGTATTGGCAGACTTAGAACTCATGGGGCTTTTTTTTTAATGTGAAGTTGTTTATGTATTAACAATGATGGTAAAATACCAATTACTGTATACTTGCACTTAATTGAACAAGTATACTCTCCATGGGAACTACAGTTTATCTTCTAATTGTTCTTAATGAGTCGTATGCTACATCTTTCCATATCCATATTCTCATATGCTTGTATCAAGAGTTCACATATGATATACATAGTAAGGACGAATAGTAAATAAAAGATTTCCACATTGAATCCTCATGGTTTCACTTGCTGTTCCTCATAGACTTGTGGTATAGATATTAAGGTTTCTCCACAACAACTGCCCATTGACCCTTGACTCTAACTGCCACTTTCACTAAACTTAACAAGTCACAAAAAGTCTATGAGTAATCCAAGTCTTACCATGAGCTATTGATTTAGGAGAAAGTTTGCAGCTACACTCATCACTGAAATGTGTATAAAGTTATTGTCATAAGTAGCAAGAAAGAAATGGACTGGCAGATCTACTACATAGCCCTCACGTTGCTATGATTCAAATGGTGATTATCTGTTTAGTCATTGCTTCCTTGACTTTTTCTTTTTCTTTTTTTTTAGTTTTTTTCGAAACACGGTTTCTCTGTGGTTTTGGAGCCCATCCTGGAACTAGCTCTGTAGACCAGGCTGGTCTCAAACTCCCAGAGATCCGCCTGCCTCTGCCTCCCGAGTGCTGTTGACGTTTTCTTAAATGAATGCCTTGCACATGCAATTCACCTATGAGAAATTGAGGAATATGGATTTGTGAGAATTTAATAACCATCAATGCATTTAAAGCTGTGCTTATTTACAATGCTGCTTTTGATTCATTGTTCCAGGACATATTAGAAACTCATCAGAGGCACATTGTTATAAACTTGCACAGGAAAATTACCTTGTAGGTCTTCTAGAGCATTGACTATGTTCTTCAGTGTTACAGACCTCCAAAATGTACCCTGAAATACAGTACCAGAATATGTATGTTATATTATTTAATATTGTACAACAATTAGGTCATTCTCTTTTTTTAATTATTATTATTTTTTTTTGTTTTTCGAGACAGGGTTTCTCTGTGGTTTTGAAGTCTGTCCTGGAACTAGCTCTTGTAGACCAGGCTGGTCTCGAACTAACAGAGATCCACCTGCCTCTGCCTCCAGAGTGCTGGAATTAAAGGCGTGTGCCACCACTGCCCAGCTAGCTCATTATCTTAAGTGCACCTAAGAACTATGATTGTGTTACTCATCTCATTTTCTTCTTTCTAAATCAAATTACAGAACAACATTATAAGGCAAGGAAAGGTTGTCTCCATATTTTGAAACATGAAGGAAATTCATTTTTACCTGTAGTAGTGAGGTTCCTGAAGGTCTCCAGCATCACATCTTTGTAGAGATTTTTCTGGGAAGGACTCAGCAAATCCCACTCTTCCTGAGTGAAGTTGATATGTAGATCATCATAGGTCACTGCCTTCAAAAATATACCATACGTGTGTACATGTAAGCATGACAGTGACATCATTGGAAATGCATACTTCTTTGAAAGTACAGTTGTATGATTCTGGTGCTCCCCATTCTTATTCTGTGATATAGTCAGTTACTTTAGAAGTAAATTGAAAATTAGAGTCAATTCTGTCATTTCTATACAATCTGAATGGGATTTCACCTTATAAGAACAATATCTATTAACAGGGTGAGACAAGAAAAAAGATCAACAGTAAATTGTATGCATGAGAAAATTGTATGAAAAATTCCTCAGTATAGAAAGAAAAAAAGATACACAAATGGGTGTATTGGTTTATTGTGCCTTTAACCACAACACTGAGAAAACAGAGGTGGGTATATTTGTCTCTGAGTTGAATGCCAGTCAAGTCAATGCAATCAGGTCCAGGAAAAGTGGCAGTACACATTAAGACTCTGTCTCCATTGCAAACCTCAATAAAACAAACAATGGGATAGAAAAACTAACAGGCTTTTATTGAAGTTTCTACAAAGAGTTGTTTTCACTCCAGTTCTGTAGTCTTCTTCCAGACCCTGAAGTACCCTAATATAAACTTCAATACCAATAACATTTTGTAGAAAAAGAACTTCCTGTATAAAACAGTTAAAAGTGGACAGATGAAAACAGTAGAAATATATATGTTGGTCATAAATAATCAACACAGACCTGGAGAGGGGGCAGATTAATTCAGCACTCTTGCTGATCTTGAATGGAGATGGACAAATTTGCCTGTACTTACATGGGGATTATAACTATCCATTTTCCAGGGTAAGGATTTCTGATATTCTTTGATCACTTTCATGGTACATATCCATGCAGGCATATAAAACAGTCATATTGATTTAAAAAAATCAAAGCAAGCATAACAAGCAAGAAGATGTTCATACAGCTGCAATTTAATGACTCAAAATACTCAGGCAGTATTAATGCTATCAATCCATGGGATGGTATCCTGGGAATCAGAGAGATACCCTCTGTCAAATTTTAAAATTCAAGATAAGCATGAAGCTCAGCACAGCAGCATATACTTGACATAAAAAATACCTGCATTCCAGGGCCATCATCCAATAACATCACAACAAATAGAGCGAGGAATGATGCCTCCCTTTACTTTCAGGAATTTAGAGCCACACAATGACTCAGATAAAACAGCAGGTTACCAAACACTTGAGCACTGAATAAGAACTCTTTCTGCTATATCTTATGTGATTTAGAGATTGAGCCCATAATGATGGTAAACACATTTCAGTATAAATAGGAATTTGGCTGATTAATGTCAAGCACAACACAGTAGATATAAATGTCAGGAAATTACTTTAGGGTATTGAAACTCATAGCATACAATGAGGAATTTTATCTAGAAAGGCTTCTCCTGGTAAGGATCCACAGAAAATTGAAATAAAACCAATAAGGAGAGAAAGTTCTTCAAATACATGATATTTTCTGGTGGGTTGTTTATTTAATCAAGTACATTCTGAACCCAGTCACTATTGGTCCATGGTCAACAAATGAAAGAAATCATTTCATCACTTAGAAGATTCACATTTAATGATCCTTAAAGAAGGACTCTTAGAAGAAATGCAATACTAGCTCAGAATTGAGAAATAGATGTTTATTTATTAGGGATAGACTCACAAATCAGAATCCTATGCTCAAACTGAGATCAGAAACCGAATCATGCAGCCAGAAAGAGGCTGGACTCATGCTCTATACTGGCCTATATAAGAGGCCATGCCTTAGTGGTCAGGAAACCACTGGCTGTAAGATTTCCTACAGCGCCTTCTCCTTTTGTTTAAATAAGAGAGTTCTAAGCCCAATACACAATTCTATACTATGAATAAGAACAATATATTCATTAATTATCCTATCCTAACTAGTTTATGTCTTGTATAAAAACTTAGCCAAGTCATGAGAGGAAAGTAACTTCAACTATCTAGTCTTCAACCCCATCGAAGATCCAAGAAGGGAAATAATATTACTTGAGTAAGCATGAAGTGCAATCAAGCAACTTTCAAAATGTGTAACAAATTACAGAGACAACTGGCTCCCTGGGCAATCATCCAAAGTCTCATTTGCAATGTTGAAGCAACCAACTTTGGCAAAGACCTAGAATAACTGACCGACAACTTAAGGAGGTAGGAAAATTTTAAAAACCATCTTATCCTATCTTGGCAAGATTTAACAATCCTGCTTATCCATTTTGGATATCATGTATCTTGTCAGTAGTTGAGACATGAACATGTCTTTGCCTAAAGGCCAGTTTTGGCAAGAAGAAAACAAGCTCCAAGTGAAGTGACCGGTGTTCAACATTCTCTTGGAAATAGAATGATGCTACTAGGAGCAATTTTGTCTCACTTAAACATAATTCAAAGTTATTTAAATGCCATAATCTACAGCTCTTTGAAGTGGTTGAAGATTACCTATATATGAATATAATCTCTACGTATCTAAAGAACCTGATTATTCCAACTATAAAAACCATAAATGACTATTGATCTATAATTCTTAATACCTATAAACTTAAAAACTAAGGCTCATATTAGAATATTATACAAGGGGACTGGAGAGATGGCTCAGTGGTTAAGAGCATTGCCTGTTCTTCCAAAGGTCCTGGGTTCAATTCCCAGCAACCACATGGTGGTTCACAACCATCTGTAAAGAGGTCTGGTGCCCTCTTCTGGCCTGCAGGCATACACACAGACAGAATATTGTATACATAATAAATAAATAAATATTAGAATATTATACAATAAACAACTGAAACAAATGAGGACAATGACTTCAAAATGTAAACAATGTATAAGTATCTTGATCAGAGGTAGAAATGTATGTTGCAATATGATAAATATATATTAATCCATAAAAATGTTTTTAAGCAGAGGTAGAAGCATGAATGCATACAATATTCAATATAATATCACATTATATTAATATACAATAATCTATACCAATGCAATTGCCTATAAATAATAACTCACAATATTCACTCTATTTACTCACTATTATTATTAGTGTGAGTAAGCTCACACTAATCTATTATCCCATCCAATTTTCCCATTTTTTTTCAAAGTGATCCCTCAGCCTCTAAAATTTTCTCTCCATCTTGCAACCCTATACCAATTATAATCAACCCCTAAATGATATCCCTAATTCTGAGAACAAACTTTGTTGGGAGAGGAGACCTTGTCTTTTAGAATTACTTCCAGCTGTCATGGGGGGGAATTTTCTTTCTATGGGATCCTGTGAAAGTAAAATGATGGTTAAGTTCCAAGATTACTGTCTGGTATAATTGCAAATAGTCTCTGCATATTTGGTAAGGTTTTTCTGAGCTTCCTATTAGGAGGTCTGTCCAGAACATTGTAAAAAGTGCACCATTTCAGCTAACCAAGTTGGAACCACCTTGAGTAGCTGGTTCTCAAAACAGATCTTGTAGTAGCGCTATCATCATCATGACGTCATATCAACCAGGTTGAGTTGATGTTCTGGGGCCACATCTTCTTCCTGGAAATTTCAAAATTCACTGCAGGAAAATTTATTGTTCATTGTGCAAACCTTCAACATTAATTATATAGACATATACAGACAAATATATTCAGTGACATGGACAATAGAGACAAAAATAGATATAAAGAAAAGTAAATTTTTTTTCTAAATTCTTTTTTATTTCTGTCCCATGCTCCTGACATGAGACAGAAACTCTGAATTTTTCTTTTAACATGTTTGGATTTATAGAGGGACAGAGCCAGTGTCCAACTCCAAAGCCAACTCTATATATTCATAAACATTTATCCACCTACAAAAGGCACCCAAGGTAATGATAGAAAAAAAGTGTAGATTATTGAATCTACTCTTAAAAAAATCAAGAGGCATATATATGTATGATGAGATAAAAGGGTAGATCATTAAAATTAATTTAAAAAGTAACTACTTATTTAAATATTTTACAATGATATAGATATGTATGCTTCCTTTTGATAGTAATTTGATATTATTTTTGTTAAAACATACTGTCTATGATGTTATATATATATACTCAAGATATTTTACCTAAAACAACTAACTTAAACATGTAGTGAAAATGGTTGCCAGGCAGTGGTGGCGCACGCCTTTAATCCCAGCACTCTGGAGGCAGAGGCAGGCAGATCTCTGTGAGTTCGAGACCAGCCTGGTCTACAAGAGCTAGTTTCAGGACAGGCTCCAAAATCAGAGAGAAACCCTGTCTCGAAAAAGCAAAAAAAAAAAAAAAAAAAAAAAAAGAAAAGAAAAGAAAAGAAAATATTTAGTCCTTGAAAGTTATTATTATTAAAGTACTGCATATTAGTAGTTTGTTACTTATTACAGTTGAAAGTATAATCATATTAGGTATGTTTTAACATTATACAGAATTTTATTATGCCTGCTGTTCTTCTTCCAGGAACCTTGATGGTGGTGAATAACATCTGTGTTAGCCAACAGAAAAAGCAGTTATCTCAAAGTGACCCTTAAACTGTTGTTTCTGACCTCTAATTACTGATCTATCTTCCAACGACAGAAGTCTCATGATATGGATATTCTCTTAGCAAACAAAAGAGATCTCTTGTGATGGCTCTCCCGGCCCTAGTGCTTTCTTCTGGTTTAGATAAATGCTGCTCCACTATTACCCAATCCCAAACAACCTAGAGAAATGATTTGAAGAAAAGTGGGGGAAGCAGGTGGTTGGGGATCCCTGCCTGAGAAGTGGGCTTTTGGGGAGACTGGGAATGAGGATCCTTCAGCTACAGGTTCTGGGATGAGTTGGGGAGTCCCCAGAAGCCAGAAGGAACACTTCAAGGACAGCATCATTGAGGACCCAGAGCTAGAAGGTGATCAAAGCTTCAGGGAGTCAGGGAGATAGAGGAAGAGGATGAGAAATTAAAGGAGCTACAAAATGAGGTAGAGAAGCAGATGAATAAGAATACAACCCCAAAATAAGAGTACAACCCCAGGCAATGCTGGCTCAGTGATCTCATCTCTTGAGGAGAAGATGGAGGCTGATGCCAGTTCCATCTATGTTGGCAATGTGGACTATGGTGCAACAGCAGAAGAGTTGGAAGCTCACTTTCGTGGCTGTGGTTCAGTCAACCATGTTACTAATTTGTCAGTCTGTGACAAATTCAGTGGCCTTGGCAAAGGGTTTGAAGATGTAGAATTCATAGACAAAGAGTCAGTGAGGACTCCCTGGCTTTAGGTGAGTCCCTGTTTAGAGTGAGACAAATCAAGATGATTCTCATCACTACAACAGACAGGGGTTTCCCACAAATCCAATACCATGCCCAGACTACTAATTACAACATCTCCCTGTCTTGATTCTACAGTGGTATTAACAGCAGGCCCTGGGATCAAGTCTACAGGGGCCAGGCTAGAGTGATATCATGGTATTCCCCTTACTAAAAAAAGTATTGGAAAAAGAGAGGGGGAAAAAAGAGGAAAGAAGGGAAAAAAGAATGTAAAAAGATAGAAAACAAACGATGACCTCGATGGGAAAAAATCTTTTTAAAAAAGGTATACTGGGGGGCTGAGAGATGGCTCAGAGGTTAAGAGTAATGACTGTTCTTCCAGCGATCCTGAGTTCAATTCCCAGCAACCACATGGTGGCTCACAACCAATTATAATGACATCTGGTGCCCTCTGCTGGCCTGCAGGGCTAAATAAATAAATAAATAAATGAATCTTTAAAAAAAGTTATACTGTGGAAGGGGGAGAATCCCAAAATTAACTGTAGGGACCTGCTCTGGGCAGTAG